TGCATCAAACCGGACAACAGTGCTTGAGAAGGAGACTACTATATTTGTGGGATTTAACTAACTGTAACTAGTTTTTTTTTAAAAACTATTGGAAGTTGGAGGGTTTTAAAAGGTAACTTTTTTGGGGGAGGGGAAGAGCCTAATGTAGTTACATTGTATCGATATATATATATATATATGTTCAAGTAATGGTGTTTGGTTGTTGGTTGAACAGTGTTACATTTGATTTATCGTTTTTTTCTTTTTTTACTTTAACTTTCAAGATATCTTGTTGTTTTTTTTTTTTTTTGAAAGTGTACCGAAACTATTTCACTTTCATATTACTACAAAGTACAAACCAATACCGTCCGTTAAAACACGCGATACAACTAAATAAATATGTATATATTTATAAATATAAGTGTAGTAGATACTGCTAATATCCACCTGTTTTTCGAATAAAATAAAACATAATATTATTATGCTGTCTCATGAATAAATCACCTATATTTAGATAACATATATAACAGCTGCAAGTATTATAATAGGTATATAGTCGGAGTTCTAAAAACGGCATAATCTTCCGGTGTTATGTCAATACCAAATGTGAAGTGGTCTACAACCGTGAGATTTATTCGGTAAAAAAAAAAAAAAGAAAAATATAATATGTAATTATATTACGACCGTATAATATAGTAATACAATTCGTTGATATAATCGAGGTTTGCAGAATAGTATGTATAAAAAATAAAAATAGTCTACATTAAACAACAGAACCAGTTGTTCAGTTGAAACTCAATTATGGCTATAACTAATAATTTTCGTATCAGGCTTTGGTCATCTGAATACCTATAGTAGAGTATATTATTCAATTTTATAATAACGATTTTTGTACATACCATCTTATGCAAGTATTTGGAAAAAAATTCGTGACTCCCGAAGATCAAAAGTTTTTATAGCTAGCGATTTTTAAATTAAATCCATATACTTCCTAATATGTACAGTAAAAATAGAATTCACGTGATGGAGCTGCTATGCATAATGTTCGTTTATCCCATTACAAGATTGAAAGATCATATGCAGCCGAATGCAAGTACCTATCCGTTAAAACCTTCAAAGGAAGATAAAATGTTTTTCTTTTACTTTTTATAAATTGTATGTACGTCTTTTTTTTGGGACCTACATATTATATATTTCACCGATCTACTTTCACTTGATCGGATATAATATTATATAGTTCGATGAAACGCGCATTTTCTTACATCATTATTTCACACGCGGTACTCATCCGTATATTGTTACCAATATTGCGTCATAAAGAACAACAGTATAACTACAATGAAAATCCGGTGGTGCAGTATTATTCAAACACAACCCTTCACATATTGCGAGCACATATTACTTATAATGCAGCTTGCAGGTTAGGGTTTTAAACATAGTCATTTTACAAAAATCAACGAATGACGATGTAACAGTTATGTGTATATTATATATTAGTAATATATAGTATTAGTAAGAAACTATAATATATTAGTAAGAGTAAGATAGCAATATAATATTACTATCTTAACTTAAATTGGATTTGATTTACTACAAGCATTTTTTTTATTGATCGATGTTTATCGTACTCTATGTCCTAAACACTAACATACATTTTTACTGAGAAATGACTAATCTTTTAAGTATATTGCTCGACTTTATTCAAAATCAAGATACAATAATATGTCGATACGCCTGTTGTATCACATGCAATAGACGATAACTTAATGGTTATGCGGGTACATTTTGATTACGTTTTACACTTTTACTTTTTACCTACATCAATTATTGATTAAAAGGGCATCGCCCACTTGCACCAAAAAAAATTAATTCGTTTAGGGCAGGTACAGCCCATTTGCGCCAAAATAAAAATGGTATATTCTTTCCGAAAGCCTATTTACTTGGTTAAATATGTTTTTTCCTCAAATAATTATCAATTCAATTTCATTTAAATTATAGCCAATTGTACGAATTTTTTTATGAATAATAACCAATAAATAATGATATAAATTATTTTAAACAATAGGTAATAAATAGTTAGTTAGTACATATTTTTAAAAATTATTATAAGTTATTGGTAATCATAGTTAATTGTACGATTTTTTTTAAAAATTATAATCAATAATACACGTTTTAATCTTTGTTTTTAAAAGTAGTGAAATGTAAATCGATTAATGCTTTATGAATATCAGACACATATTAAGGATTTGAAGGAAGAGAGCTTTTATGAGTACGGTAAATACTTTTTCGTACAGCAGATACATCAGATATAGTAAAATCAGAATTAGTTATGTAGTTATTCATTTCAGTTAAAATAATTTTCCTAGGACGAATACTTATGTCTTCGAACGTTTATATGCTGCAGTTATATTTAAAATCTATAGACCTATGAAAATAACTTTTTTATATGTTACAGACACGAGTACATGACGTCTTTTAAATATACAAATTAACCAATTCGTTAATGTAAAATGTTTACGCGGGTAAATTTGGCGCAAATGGCTGAACTCAAAATGAATTAATTTTTTTAGCGCAAGTGGGCAACTTCCGATTAAAGACGTAGATACAAGCATATAATTAAGCAATTAAGCAATTATTTAAAAATACGTATGTTAAAATAAACAAATATACTGAGAAATGCTATAATATTGTAAGCCTAAAGAATGGACGTAGTCAATTTATATCAAATTTGACCCTAAATATTTACAACACGTGTAATTTGCACCAACATTTTTTAACTGCATTTATAATTTGCACCATCTCAGATAGTAATAAATAGGAAATGTAATTAGCAACAAAATTAAAGTCGATTAATATAAGATATAGGTACTATCGAAAGAACATAATCGTACAATTTTTGATATTTGATAAGATATAAAATAATTAAAAAAATAAAAATATAAGAATAATAAAACAAACTGATGTTGCACTGATTGCCAGATTAGTTAGATTGCAATTTATATTTTGATACATACAGGTTTTTGTATTTTTATGTAACTAATTCAATAAATGAAGTAGGTGCAAATTATATGTCCTTATTTTGGTGCAAATTACGAACTCCCTGAAGAATAACAAGACAATTTCATTATCTATACGACTATGACTATATCTATAGAAATATATTATTTAAAAAAGAGTAAAAAACTGTAAGCAACTTTTTTAGTAATAGTTACATGTCGTAAATGTAAACATGGAATCTGTACTTTCTATATTATAATATCGTATATATATAAAAAATTATAATACAGAGATCAAACATTAATGAATAATATATAATCTTAAGTGTATAAGTAATTTAAAATATATTTTAATCATTCGTATTAATATTGGATATATATCTGAGAATTATTTTATTGAGAATATGTATGCTTGTGAGAAATATTATATAAATAAATTTAAGTTTAAGCAGTATAAAAATTGTTTGTAAAACACAGATATTGTTATCATGATATAATTTGGATTCATTATATTAAAAATAATTTAAATTGAAGGCTTTAAAAAGAATATTATATACTCGTAATAATAATTTATTTTATTTCACTATATTACCATCAGCAATAGATTTTCATATTAAAATCTATTCATGGGTAATGGGTATATTGATGGATTAAAAATTTACTTCAGTAGATATTAAATAGATTTTTTTTACGTAATATGTGTACCTATTAAAGAATAGTATAATCTATAGAACATGTTGCAAAATCATTAATTTGCCTAACTTTTATATTTTGACACAACATGAACAAAAAATATTAAAATTTTCAGTAATGAATACATTTATGATATAAAAAAGTCACTTGTGTTAATATTAGGTACGGATAATGTATTAATATTAATTACAAGTATTATTTGCATAATTAAGACTGTTTAGACCAGATAAACCATGTATAATGTATATATACATTATACATATATTATATAAGTGTGTTTATGATATTTATGCCGATTATTCGGTGAATTATATAATTTTAATATTTATGTACTTTACCATTATGGTAGATATCTATTCTACTGTGTCTATAAACATTAATATTTCAAATAAAGAAAGTGCTTTGAATTAACGATATATACAATTGCATACTATATTATATTATTTATAATGTAATTAAAAGTTAAATGAACTAAGAATATATTTTAAATTATATTTAATATTTTTGAAGCAATTTAATGATGTTTGATCACATGAACATTATTGCATATGCAATAACTAATCTTTCTTAATCAATTACTTTTATCGGTAAATTACAATAGCGTAACATTAAGTATATTAGAATTACTTTTCGTGGCGTATCTGTGTCTTAAATACGTGCATTGTGCTAATTGGGTGATAGATAGTGATTATTTGAATTTAGAGATGATCAACTTATAATTAGATTATGAGATATCTATTAAATTGTTTTCTTTAATTTAATATTTTCAAATGTTAAACTAAATTCTAACTATGCGATATAGACCGATATTACCATGTATATATATATTATATCACGTAAAAATATTTCCTTTTTTTATTGGAAAAAAAACTTTTGACTTAAATTATATTTTGAAATAGTTCAAGTAGGCGAGAAAATAGTTTATAATATAATGCGTTTATTATAGGTATATAGGTACCGCACGTACTTTATTGTTTAGGATTTTAAAATAAAGTAATTTTAAAGTCACACAAATTTTGAATATTTTACGAAATTAACTCTATTAATTTTCCCATACGTATATAGGTTATAGGAATAAACTTATATAACGTAGTGCGTTATAAACGAATAATTATCGTGGGATTATAACTTGCGTACCGCTGCAGTTTTATACGTAAACATTATTTTCTTATGATTTAAGTAGTTACAATCACTTTATATTAGGATATAATGTAATTACTAGTCTGGGAATCTGCAAAGAAGTTTTTAATATACGTTCCTTTCATTTTCAATCCCTACCAAACGCGCGCGCCGTGTCCTGCAGGTGGGTGGTGGTTGTATAAAATAGCTGAGCAATTACATACAGCCATCCAATAGTCGGTGTAAGTTCGGTGACTAGTCAGTGAATTTAGTGGTTATTCTTTTCTGTTTTTTTAATACAAGTAAATTTTTTTAAATTTTTCAAGATGAACGGTCTTCTGTTGGTAAGTTACTTTTTAAATTAATTTTTATTCGTTTATTATAATTATTATTTGATTTTTACCGTCGATAAAGAGACAAACATTCGTATAATACCGGATAGTAGTCATTTGGTTGTTCTTCTATAATACCAGTGAATAATAATGTAATATTATTAATGATAGAAAAAAAAATAGAAGTGTATTACAACAGTAATTTTTCAAACGAAAACATTTTGGATAATAACAAATAAGTTTTTTTACTAATTCTTCCATACTATATTACACACTACGCACGGCACAACATGATGTTATAAAATATACACTATACATTATCATAATAGTCCAGCGTTAAATTTTAAACACTATGAGACGGTCATTGTACTTGGAGCTTTCACTATATGTTTAAACCGTTCTGCCATGTATTTATATACTCCACACTCGAACGTGCACGTGGCCTAAAACGTATATAATGTAGATACATAATATTCGTTTATATTATATTTTTCTACTCCAGTCGAACTCTGACAGCTGATGGTAAAGTACGAGATTTTTAATATTACTTCAGCGATTTCTATTAGGACCAGCGACGCGCCATAGGTAGCGCCCAGATGATTTAAACACACGCTAGCATTAATTTCTAAACCTGTCACAAAAATAAATAAATATTATTTTAATAAAAAAACAATATTTATTGCTATAAAAATATTATAAGATATTTTTAAATTGAAAAGATTTTTGTTTTTTAATCTAAATTTTATGATAGCGTTATCGGAAATGGGAAAATTTAAAACACGAAAAAATGGATTATGTGAAAAAAATACGCTTTGAAATCAAAAGGAACTTAATATAAAATTAAGTTTAGCACATACGATTTATTTTAGTGCCAATGATTTTGTTTCAGCGCAAATCTAAAAAATATATCATAAAACACAACATTAATATTTATTCGATATCAACTCATTTAAAATATTATATACTCATAATTATTGTGGTGTTTCAGTGTCTCGTCGTCGCCGCAATCGCCATCGTCACCGCCGAACCACCAAGCAGCTATAGCCGACCATCGTTCGGAGGAGGCCATTCGTCCGGCGGTTTCGGGGGTTACTCTTCCGGCGGCGGCGGCGGTGGATACTCGTCCGGCGGCGGATTCTCGTCCGGCGGTGGATACTCGTCCGGCGGTGGATACTCGTCCGGCGGATACGCTTCCGGCAGCGGCGGCTACTCGTCCGGCGGCAGTTACGTGCCAGTGGCCCCGGGACCGTCCACAAACGAAGGACAGTACGTCGACGGACAGCTCCTCGAACAGATCAAGCAGATCGTGCTCAGAGACGAATCCCAAAACTCCGGATCGTCGTTCGGCGGATACCCGTCCTCGTCCTACGGCGCCCCGTCCTCGTCCTACGGCGCCCCGTCCTCATCATACGGCGCCCCGTCCTCATCGTACGGCGCCCCGTCCTCGTCGTACGGAGTCCCGTCCCAATCGTACTCGAGCCGCGTCGTCGGCGTCGAATTGGAACAGGTGAGACCGGCCATCCAAGTGGCCCAGTTCCAACAGTCCGGCGGTTACTCGTCCGGCGGCGGTGGCGGCTACTCTTCCGGCCCGTCTTCCTCGTACGGAGCTCCGTCCAGGCCGTCCTCGTCCTACGGAGTGCCGTCGTCCTCTTACTAATAGCGGCCGGTGGTGCGCTCGGCTCGTCGCCGGCACCGGTCCGGCACGACAAACACCGCAAACCGCAGCAGACCCGCAAAAAAATATCATCATCGCAACATATTACGTACACACAATCCTCCGCTCTTTCCACGCCGCCCGTACAGCTTTCAATGTTATTATTATTCTACACTCGCGATCACTGCGATCTTATACCTCGTCTGACGTTGTAGTAATCTCACACCGAATAAACCGCGAGTGAACGATATACACATAATGTATACGATGTACGCGATAGCACAACGGCAATAAACGACGAATCTTCGCGCGGACTTACGACGTAACAGTGTGCGAGCTTATACAACGAAATGTAAATAATATTATCAATAATTATTATCATCGTCGCGGTCAACACAACGACGCCGCGGACACGGAGCCAGCGACGCGAGAGAGCACATATTTTTTTTCGTAATTTTTCTGAAATGTATTTTTATTTTTTTTTTATATTTTGTTATATATATATATTTTACGATGTTTTTTTTTATCTATTGTTATACGCGTGTAGTCGAAAATTTAGCCATATCGCATATTTACATATAATACGACGTAATATTACAATAGTGAATACTAGACTAAATGTAATATTTGTCTGATCATTTTTTTCATGTATAAAACAATACGGCCAAAAGATGATGAGAGATAAAAAAAAAATCTATTTTTTATAAAATATCGTGTTTTTTTTTATATTTTTTCTATTATATTTCTTGCCGTATACGCATACATATACGAGCTCTATAGCTCTATAGGCACTTTGTAAAAATTGCACATCATCGTTTTGCCATATAGCCAAGTTATGGGTTTTCGTACCTTTATTTAGGTGTATTTATAATTATAATGTAATGCAATATTGCGCCAATACAATGATTGATTATGTGATTAGGCCAATGATGCGCAGTGGTAAACATCGAATCAAGAATAATTTCAAAAATTAAGTATAAGGCTATAATTTTACGTTGTCACATATATTAATTGGGTATTTAGTAATCCATTGCTGTAATAATGCAAGGATGAATATACACACGAGTACGTAAAAAATCTGTTTGTAACATCTCATATTTTTAGATGTTTTTTTATTCCCTTATTTACATATATTTCAACAGCAATTACGTTTTTTAACGTTATCATATGATGTTTTAACGATATTATATAACAAAAATGTATGCCATAAAGAGTACAGCTCTTTCACATAGATAGTATTTCGTATTCCGTTCTACGCGACGTCGAGGTAATGCATAAAAATTGTAATTTATCAAAAAAGTTTATGCTTAAATTCGAAGGTTGTTATCATGCGACGTGCGTGGCTCAGATATACTTATATACTATATTTATATTTTATGCACTCGTAAATTTATTAAAAAAATTCTGTAGTACATCTGTACATGCAAATTTTACAGATTACATTCCTAGATATTATTAAATTGCAGACGTTGGTAATTTTTAAAAATAAAATTTTAGCTCCGGTCATTAAAAAATTATTGTACGTAAATTATTATAAATATAAAACGTCGAAAATTTCGCGCTCTGCGTTGAAATTGGGTTATAGATTACTGATTACGGTATTATAACTGTTTCACAACAATAAAGACCCGTCAACATGTCCCTGTCGGTTGGTAAATGTTTATAATACCGCGAAAGTGTAGACTCAATTATTCTTACCATTTTGTTGTTTACAGACGTGTGGCCAAGGTTTCTCGGGGACTCGGCCAAAAACAGGACGAAAAATTGAGAAATTCAGATGACGTTTTTATCGCGAATATAATAATATGTAATAATAATTCGCGGGATTCGGTAACTGATATACACACATTCTCGCCATGTACAAACTAGGTATATGGGCATAAAACGTACCTGTTGTATAGTCAGTTGTCACAACTATATAATAAACGCGTCGAAGGTGGATTTTTAAATTACAAATTAAATTAGGCGGTTGTACACAATATAATGTATAGCAGCAGTAGCTATATAATAACATGACGTACAGGTAGATAGTAGATGCTGACTTAGACACAGTACGCCAATACCTTCATATACCTATTACCGCGCGTATGAATACACGAGCAATGCGAATTATTGCCACACCGCGCACCGGAATGGTTTTAGCAGCGTTTCTAATCGTTAATAACCAATCTGTTCAAAGCGAACACGTGCATAATAATTACGATTATAGCTGATATATATACATGTATAAATATAGGTAGATAGTTATAGGTGCCTCCTATATATACTACCACGGCTAAGTAATGCATGTTGCGAAATAAAACTCGCGAGTGCATAGTTTCGCGACGAACGCTATTTACCTATTTATTTATAGATTAGTTTTTTTTTTTTTTTATTCCGATCCGGCCCAACGACAATAAATTAGGTATAGGACTCGGCTAAACGCGCGCGAGTGCGTGGTGGGAACTGGGAAGTACGCTGTAAGGTGTTCACGGTATCAAATAGGAAAACAAATGAGACAAGTCCTTTTTTTTTTAGCAAAGTAATTTATTCATGGAAAGATGGTAAATGCTTTGATACGCACATTGTATAACATATAAATATAAATATAAATAAGTATTGTATTTAAAATATTATCCTTACAAATAACAAGTTACACGAAATATAAAAAACATAATTTCATTGTAAACCAATTGAATTTTTTTATTATCCTGTAAGACTCTTGACAAGTATGATCAGCAGGTTGAAAATTATGAGAGGATCTGAAATAAAAATTAAAATTATTTACATGTATAATAAACTAAAAATCTTTACAGATAAGGTGATTTCGTCAATAATATCTAACAAGGATAAACATATAGTGTTTCGACAAACTTGTATACTTGCAAGAAACCGTACGATGAAATGAAAGTAATTTATTTTTAAAATTAAAACTGTGGAAATAGTTACGGAAATATTAACCATTTGCATTATATAACATGTAGTTACGTCTACAAGACCACAACGCATCTATGACCTAAAGAGTATAATACATTCACAGAATTGTACTCTACCTATAATATACGAGTACAACAATATATAATATACATAGCCCAACGCATTTAAGTTAATTCACATAAAACTTAATTTTACAATGACCCAATTTGAAAAACATTTTTCGTCAAATTACAATATTACATATGATGGCTATAATAATATGATATACATTTTTGTTTTTAATATTTTATTATGACATAAAAGGTCTACAATACGGGGCTATATTATGTAAAGTCGTACACATACTTTATATTGTAGAATATGATATACATTTATTACATTTATAACGAAGGCAATTACGTTAGTAGAGAATAGTATCGTATTAATTAAAAACTGTTATATAGTACAATAATTTTTGATAGTAAACCATATTTCCTGGGCATCTAATACGTATAGTAATCTACAGTCACATAACTCGCTCCGTTACAATATTCGGGTCAACAAACTCAAAAAGAAACATTTATAACATTCATTATAATAATTATAGGATAATATTTAAAAAGTATTATTAAATTATAATACAGTTTAATTAATATTGACAATAAATTTGAATGAAATGGGGAAAATGTAAATCCTAAGTTTTCAAAAACAAATTAATAATTATTATGTTTTAATTAATTTTTAATAATTGTAAAAGTATTAGAGAATCAAAAAAATAAAATATTTAACAAAAAAAAAATATCGTTTTCTTATGCGTGGTTAAAAATTGTATAAGACACTAAATAATTTATTTAAAACAAATTTTGATTTAAAACAAGCAATGTTTTACATCTAAGGGTTTTTCTAAGTCATACACACACGAATAATATTTGTTTATCATTATATTATATTATGCACTCAATACTAAATTTGCTACATAGTAAGTTAATTATTAACCATAAACAGGCATAAGTAAAGATAATAACTATGGATTGCTTGTATGCCTTTATCCAACACCTTAATATAATAAGATGAAAAGCTGCCTCATAATAGTTGCAAAATATAGGCAAAAGGTAGACAAACTATGAGGTATGCAAACCTAATGTCTTTATCAATCTGGTGTTTAGATTTCACTAGTTAGTCTTTTAATTTAAGCATTAATATATTTAGGTATTTCTATTTTGTATGTAACAGTAAATTTTGTTTTAAATGTGAGATCACTGACCAATATTACAGATCAAATTATTTTTTTAGGTTTAAGGTGCAGTTACCAGGCAAAACAATCTTGCAAGTTTATTTTATTACTTTACTATTAATAATTATGGATCTTAAACAAAAAGTCCAAAAATATAAATTATTCAGTTTATGAAATTACAATTTCATTAATAATTTAATTTTCTTGTATAATAATAAAGTGCTCTGTTGTTTTTTGCTTGTTTTGCTCACCCACCACCTGGGGACTAGGTCAATCTATCAGAAAATACTGCCAAAAGATGTTTTGGCTGACAGTAAATAAAAGAGTCTAGATTTTTTTTTTTAAATAATATTTCTTGTGCTAAAACATATTAACTGTTTATAAAGTTTATAAAGTTTATAAAGTAATTATATAATATGACAGCCTGACAATCTAATCTGGATGAAAATTTGTCACAGAAAAACAATACAAGTATTAATATTCTGAATATATTTTGAATGCAATTTTTTAATTTCCAATCAAAGCAGTAATTTAATGGACTATTATCATATATAGTAATATGGTCTAGCAAAAATTGATATTTACTGTTGATAAATATTATTTATTAATATTTTACTATTTTTAAATTTTAAAATATAGATAGATAACATACATTATTTTTAGATTACTGGTAAATAAGACTATATTATCAATAATAGTCAATTGATAAATATATAAATATTATATGCATTTTAAATTTAAAACTTTTTACCAAGGCACATCAATAATGTAACACAGCCATACTCAACCTTTTTTTCATTTGGGCCACATAAAATATTTTAAAATATTACGCGGGCCGCAAGTCTAAATGAACGGAACGGAAAAAAAAACTAAAAATACATTTTTATATTGTGTACAACATTTGAAAATTTATTGTAAAAAAATTAAATATTTATTTTAAATTAGTGTGAATTTTGATATTGAGATAATTCCTTAACTATTTTGGATAAATCTGGTTTGTAGTTGCTGCATGCTACTCTTAACAAGTCGTCAAGATGTGAATCAGTAAGCCGATTTCTGTACACATTCTTTGCATATTTCATTTTTGAATATGAAGTTTAACACACTTTAATTGTTCTGTTATACCTATATTACACTTATATTAGTTTTAAAATTTTTTTATTAATTCAATGAGTTCTGTTTGGGCCACATATAAACCATTGGCGGGCCGCAGGTTGAGTATGGCTGATGTAACATCACAAATTAATTATATTTGAGTGTATATGATTTAAAAAAATGTATGAATGCATAAATGAATTGTATAATGAAGATCTTAAATAAAATATTAAGGTAAGCAGACAAAAAAATATTGTTTTATAAATTAATTTTATAATGACCTTATTTTGTATCTTAATTTTATACAAATTAAATAGATAATTATCAGAATAAAATTAGTATAGGAAGGGATCAATATAAAATTAATAAATATATAATAAAACATTTAAATGAGTACAAACATTTGTAAAGTAAATTATAATAAACTATATTCCTGCAGTAAAAAATAATTTACTTTTTAAAATTACCTATGTATAAAATATATTTTTAAAAGTACCAAGTTTTTTTTTATCAATTTTAAACTAAATAAATATAATTTGATGTTTCAGTTTTAGAGATGGAATACAACTATGAAAATATGTATACATAATATAATGCTATCAATGCTGTTCTAAATTACACTGAACCATTAATGCTAGCTTTTAAGAAAGGTAATAGTTACTTAAGTATAAGTTGTGAATCTATTAGCTTTGTAAAAACAATACAAAATTATAATATTCAGTAACTAATATGATAAATAGTTCAAAAATACTAAAAAGATGAAACTTCATAAATTATAAATTAGATGTTATAATGAATAGTTTATTATAAAATAATATTTACATAGTATGTATACCTAACTAAAGGTAATAATACATTTTTATTTACCAACACAATACAAAAATTAAATGGTGGTATTATGATACTGGAGGAATAAATATTTGTAACTATAATGTAATAATGTTTTCAATGTATATTATTCACCTTAATTCACATTAAAACTATAGATATTTACTAGGTAAGGCTATTGGTACTACTTACATTTAACGACTGTACGGATAGACTTCATAAGTGATAATATCTGTGTTTTCGTGGTTGGGATATCCTCAAACTCTCGGTTCACTGTGGACCAGCCGTCTAAAAAAATAAACCATACGGTGTAAATAATTAATATCACATAATAATATAGATCAGCAGCTCGCCAGCCTGGTGAATATGTACTTACACTTGGCCAGAACTCTGTCTTCGTTCAGGATGCATATGGCGTTCAGACACAATAGCGAAGCCTCGAGCAGAGTCCACAATGAAAATCCCATGTCTTTAGCACGTCACCCTAAGGGACAGCCGGATAATGCTACACCAACGCAAAAATTACTGGAAAAATAATTCGAAATATCAAATCATTCGAATCCCGTTGTCAAAGTTGGATGAAAACATGAAATCGCGCGTGTTATCACACTACGTGTTCAATCCGTTATCGGTGTAAGCGACTACGGTACATTTAAAATAAATGGCGGGCAAATTTCTTCCATGTTTATTCGACCTCTTATCGGTATCGCGTTCTAACCTACATAGCGTTCGCAAACCAAGATATGATAACGAGTAACGACGAAATTACGGTCTACACAGTAGAAGTGACGGACGTTGGGGTCGGGTTATTCGTTTTTCGAGTAAAGAACATTGCATTTATGCTTACATACAAGTAATAATGACAAGGGAAAAAATGTTGTAACGACTAAGTACTTTTTAATTATTTTTTATATACCGTCTCGTCATTACTCTTATTGTGGGACCCGTCATCTGAACGCCGGTCGGGTGTGAAGTGCAAGTTGTGTCCGTTACTGTATCGACGGTTTCGTATTTTTTTTTGTTCGCGAACAACTGAATAATGTGCCTGACATGCCGCTTGTGTACGTAGTACGAGCGTATACGTGCCCGCTCCTCCGAATCACCCGGCCAATCTAATCGTCACCGCTACACGTGCATCACAGCAATTGAAGCGATGTTGCAACGTTTTTGAGTTCGCTTCATCGTCCAACATCGCGGAATTTGACGACGAAATTTCGTCAGAAAAAATTCTTCCTAACGGTTGTCCAACTGATACGCTCCTCAATCAGGTAAATTGTTGTTTGATTTTTGCCGACGATGGCTGAAAACATTTACACCCGACTTAGTTTCACCGCTGTGTCTTAACAATTATGAAACTAGGCATCATATCCACTAAACAGCGTTTATGTGGTGACATATTATGCGTCAGGGAATACTCCATTGTTAGTTGTAATTATAAAAAAAAAAATGTTTTCCACAGTTATTAATGAATGCCTAGTTGTTCTTAATATAATTTAAATGTCCCAATGCAAAGCCTAATTTTACTGTCCAATCAGTGTTTAATCGTGTTTTAATAGTTTTTTATTGATTGAATTTTATTGAATTTTTGTTTTATTATATGTCTAAAAATAATTAAATTATGTGCATGATATATTGACTTGATTAATTTACCTAGTTCATAATTTAATAATGACCTATTTTTGTTAACAACTGCAATAAATTGATTTAGTATTATCTATTTATTTTAATTGAATTAGGTATATCTTTTGTATGCAATTTGCTTTATACAAATATGTTTAGAATTAATAAATTATTTATGATAGCTATAGTAAAAATAGTATAAATAAAATTTTGCCAATGATGAATAAATATAATTTGAAAAAAAATAAAAAGTAGGTAGGTAATATGATATTAATTATATTTTATGTCATTTCTTACTCATTTAGTTTAAGTCTGAGGCAAATAAGTAGGCAATTGACTATTGAGAAATGTGACTGGTATCTATTTGATATATTTAATTATATATATATTTGCCTATATGAGTTAATTATTGTTTAATATATTTACTTATATAATTTTTTTTTTAGATAAAGATGGACTCTGAATCAAATGAAGTTGAATTGAAAAGTGTCGTTTCTGATACGAAACGCACTAGATTTCAAGTTAAATTGGTAGATTGTGAAACCCCTCAAAGGATGCGATTAGACAGTGCTTCATCAGATGATAATAAATATAAAAGTTTTCGGCAACTGACCCGTGAAGCATTACCAAGATTAGACAATTACCGAAATATTATGTCAGTGCATGTTGCATGTAGACCTACTTTGGATGAACTACATAATTGTGATCTGGCTGAAAAAGTATGAATATTTTCTTCATCAAAATTGCCTATCATTTTATAATTAATTTATCGTTATAGAATATGGAAGCTCAAGAAAATGAACCTAGTAGACCAATAAAGAAAAAACATGAACAAGGGTGGATTAAAGGAGTTCTTATCCGTAACCTAGTACAAATATGGGGTCTCATGTTATTTTTAAGAGTAGCATGGGTTGTTTGTACTACTGGTTTATGTAATATAACTCAATTATTTTATTTTATTTTCGATGAAAATTTAAAAAATTAACAATAAAAATCAGTTTCAGGAATTGTTATAATATTGTTTGGTGGTGCTATCACAACTATAACTGCTTTATCTATGTCAGCAATTAGTACAAATGGTGTATTGAAAGAAGGTGGTACTTACTTTATGATATCTCGTTCTCTTGGGCCAGAATTTGGTGCTTGCATTGGTGTAATCTATTCTATAGCATTGTCTGCTGCATGTGCAATGCATACAGTAGGATTTTGTGAAATGGTTCAGATTCTTTTGAACTCGTTTAATTTATCTATATTGGATGGTGAAGTACAGGATATGAGGCTTCTTGGAATCTGTTTAACTACTGCATTGCTGTGTGCAACATTAGGTGGCATTAGGTCACGAATTCAGGTTAATAAAATACAATTTGACATTGTTGCTTATATAATATTTTATATTATGTATTATTAATTTACCATTTTTTGGTCGTATTTTCAAAAAATCTTTAGGTACATGCAGCTGTTCTAGTACTTATGATTGCAGCAATTTTGGATGTATTTATAGGAGCTATTTGTGGACCAAAAAGTAAAGCTGAAAGAGATGAAGGTTTCATTGGTTTTAGCTGTAAGAAAAAACAATAGTACAAGCTTATTATAGTCTTAGTACCATATAACCAAAAATATAAATATACATGTTTTTAGGGGATGCAATTAATAATAATATATTCAAGAATGAAACTTTTGACGATTGGTGTAAAAGTTTTTGGTATGGTTTTAGTATATTTTTTCCTGCAGTTTCTGGATTTTTAGCAGGAACAAATAAATCAGGCGAATTAAAAGTAATTTAAATTGTTTTTATATATTAAAATCTTAACTATTATGTATTAAATTGTTATTTTATTTAAGTATAAAATAACTGAATATTTTTATATCATTGTCTATACTCTGTCTCTAAAATTTGTTATAGTAAATACCAAAATCTATATTAAATATTTGATAATGGCAATATTAACTTAACTACCTTAAGTAAAGGAACTATTTTAAACTACTCAATCAATTTTTGTATAACTAAATTCATACTTGAATAAATAAGTTTTGAAATTTAGTATGAGTCTTGATGATTAAAGCATTAGTAACCACTTTTGAGACTGAGTATGATAATCTTTATTTAAATCTTATATTTTATTATTTGTTATCTAGGATTCATTAAGAGCAATACCAAGAGGTTCCTTAACATCTATTTTTATTTCTTCTTCTGTATACATTAGTATAGCAATTTTGGTTGGTTCAACATTTATAGATCAAGATCCTCATTATAAGTCTAATTTTGATGATCATAAACATTATGTAAGTCTTTAAGGTTATTTAAAAGTAAAATATTTATTTAAATGTATTGTTTATTTTGTGTTGATAACAATTTTTTAGGCAGTCAATCGAACTATTGGACTTATAGCATTTTTTAGCCCATTAGTATACGCATGTATCTTGGCCTCAACATTAACAGCCTCATTTTCTTCATTTTTAGCTGCTCCAAAAGTATTTCAAATGTTATGCAACGATAGACTTTACAATAATCTTTCATGGTTTGGATTTAGTAATAAATCAGGAGAGCCAATAAGAGCTGATATTTTAACTACATTAATTGTTTTGCTGTTTATACTTCCTGGTACTATACATTATATATTTTGTCTATCCTGTTATTGATAATAACAATACATTTGGTACTTATAGGTGATTTGAATGCAATATTACCTTCAATATCAAATATATTTCTTAGTGTTTATGCGTTGATAAATTTCAGTACATTTCATGCATCATTAGTTAAACCAATTGGATGGCGTCCTACTTTTAAAGTAAAGCAATTTTACTCATTAATTTTTTATTATCATTTATTGTAACTGGTGAATTATTTTAATTTAAACATTTTTATTTTCATTTCAGTTGTATAATATGTGGTTAAGTTTAGGAGGTTCAATGTTATGTGTAGTGTTGATGTTTGTCATTAGCTGGGGAACAGCTTTGGTGACGTTAGCAGCTATATTAGCCTTGTACTTAATAGTATCATATCAAAAACCAGGTAATTTTATTAATTAAAAGATTAAAAGGTATTCAAATTCTTAGAAATTAATAATTTCAGATGTCAATTGGGGTACAAGTACCCAAGCTCAAACTTACAAACAAGCTCTATTGGCTGTTCACAATCTTATAAGGGTGGAAGATCATGTTAAAAACTTTAGACCGCAACTACTTGTACTTACTGGAATGACATCTGCTAGACCATCATTAATTGATTTTGCACATCTCATTACAAAAAATTTGTCATTGCTTGTATGCGGAAATATTATCAAAGTATGTTTATTTATTAAGTTGAAATATTGAAATTAATTATATTTTAAATAAACTTTTTTTTATTATTTAAAATTTTTAGGCTCCATCTTCACAAAAGTTACTTGAAGTTTATTCAAAACGTGCCATAAATTGGTTATGTTACCACAAAATCAAAGGATTTTATGTACAAATAGATGGTACTAATTTTGACGATGGTGCAAAGAGTTTAATGCAAACAGTTGGATTAGGCAAACTGAAACCAAATATTGTTATGTTAGGATATAAGAGCAATTGGTTCAAATGTAGTTCTCAAGATTTAAATATGTATTTCAATGTGTTACAGTATGTACTAAGAAAATTTCATATAAATTGTTATATTTAGTTGATTTATAATTAATTATTAACTATTTTGTAATTATTTAGTAAAGCTTTAGATATTCATATGGCTGTATGTATATTACGTGTCAAATCTGGACTAAATTTTTCTAATTCAATTCTTATTGATGAAATGCAGCTTGATATGATGGTAAACCGTAAAGCATCATATCTATCAGAAGAACCATTTTTACATAGTAGATCACAGTCAATGTCTACTGTTAGTAAGTATTGAGTTCTATTTTAATAATAATATAATGCAGTAAATATTTTTGCTTTTTATTAATTTGTTTTTTAAACAAATTTTTATGTATACTTAATATTTTTTTTAAATTGCTATTTACACTGATTTTATTTTAAAGAATATTTAAAAATTAATATTATATCAAGGTGTTTATTTTTTAATATTACATATCTAAAAAAATAATTAAAGCATTAGTTATTAATAAATGTTTGAAAAGTTTTTTTTTTTTATGAATTTGATAAACATGGCAATCCATTTTCAATGTTTTTCATGAAGTTTTGATTAATTGATTGATTTTCTATGTTTTTAATATTTTACATTTTATTTACATATTTTTCACTTGAACTAAATTTATATCTAATTAATTTTCATAGCTGATAAAAATGACAGTGATGAAGAAAATGAATTATTAAACAAAGAAACATCTACTTCATTCACTAAGCAGTCTACTGATGATAAAGTTGATCAACCAAAATTAAATAAAAATCAAAAAGTTAATATTGTCAAGTAAGTTTTTTAAGCATTATAAAATTAAAATTAATTATATAAACAAATATTAAATTATTTTAAATAAATTTATGTTTAATATGTTTATCTTATATTACAGAGGAACTGATGGTTATGATTTACCCAAAGACACTATGAATGAGATTACCCGGTTTCAACGTAAACAAAAGAAAGGTTCAATTGATGTTTGGTGGCTGTATGATGATGGAGGTAAAGTAGTATGTTTATCATATTTTGTAATATTATTAATTTAGTTTGTTTAATTAAGGTCTTACATTACTTTTACCATATATCTTAAGCACAAGAGGTAATTGGTCGTCTTGTAAATTGAGAGTATTTACAATTGCTAATAAAAAAGATCAATTGGAATTTGAACAAAGAAGGTAAGATAATTTATAATTATTTAATAATTTATTATTATGTGTTATTTTAACGTGTGGTCTCTTGCAGTATTGCTAGTTTGTTAGCCAAATTTCGTATTGATTATTCAGATTTGTTAGTAATAACAGACCTTATGAGGAAACCACATGAAGAAACATTAGCTTTTTATGATGGATTGATTAAAAGTTATAAACCTAAAGGACCAAACAGTGAAAGTATGTAATGTAAAAAATCAATTAGATTTTGTTATTTAAGTTGAATTTTATAGATGATGGTATAAAAGAGTCTGAGTTAACAGCAATGAAAGAAAAAACAAATCGTCATCTTCGGTTAAGAGAACTGCTTTTAGAAAATTCACAGGAAGCCAACTTAATTGTAATGTAAGTAGTATTAAACATTTTAATAGTTTAATAACAGTGGTATTTTATATGTATACGTTTTGTTTGTTGATAAAACTTATATTTTTTAAATTTAATATGATATCAGAAATGTTTAAAAGCATTACATTGCTTTATATTAATAAGTAATTATAAATTATAGTTAGAGTATTGAATAATTTAGTTTTATGAAATAAATGGGTAGCTTATATGTAATTTACACTTATATTTAAGTTTAATGTATAATAAATTGGGAAATTATTATTTATTGTAATTATACTTTAACGAGTCATTTGATATAATTTCTAGTTTTAATTATTTGATTTGGTTAAAATACAATAAAAATACTAATACTACATACTATTAAACTATATAAAAGTTAGCTTAAAACTAGTATACTAAACTTATTTATGAATGCATGTTTGATATTCCAAATTGTACAGCAGTACATTATTTTTTTTTATAAATGCTATTTTTTTTTTCACATTTATTATTTATTTTGTATTTTTAAAAATAATCATAAATTTCAAGAAATTTTTTACATCTATATTTTTTTGTTTAATAGATTTGTTTTTCTTTTCATTGGTTATTCCAAATTTTTTCAATTGAGATTTTGTACACAAGTTATTGAATGTGATAATTATTTTACTTGTTAATAATACATAATATTTATTTTCTGCTACTAATATATATATGAAATCTGACTTATGCTGGGCAGTAAATTAATAATTGTATAAATATCGTATTAACAGTATGAAAAATGGGAATAAATAAAATAAATATTCTGTTCATCGAGAAAATAATATGATCATTTTATGTGCATGACCATAGGTTATTATCTTTCTTTTTACTCACTCCACTCTATTTTCCATCCTCATTCGTCAATTAATTATTGTAGATGGTGTTGTGATATGTAACAGCTAGTTTTGGTTAATGTGTGCTTGTATCTCTTGGTATAATTTAAATATTCATTTTATAATGTGTACTAATAATTTTTTGATGTTTTATAATTTATTCAACACTTTAACTGTAACATTTATATTAATTTTTTTTAGTAATAAGTAACATCTATATTAAAAGCATAAGATTATACTATATTGTGTAATAATTGATTATATCTTTTACAGGACTTTACCAATGCCTAGAAAAAATGTAGTACCAGCTTCTTTGTATATGTCCTGGCTAGAGACATTGACACAAGGTATGCCTCCATTTCTTTTAGTGCGGGGCAATCAAAGCTCTGTACTTACATTTTATTCCTAAGCATCTTTTGCTCAAGAACTGTTCCTCCATTAAATACCGGTAAAATGATGTTAAGTAATATTATTTAAATTTAAGTAAATTGAAAAACAACAATTTAATATGACTCATTGCCACAATCATGTTTTCTTATATGTGTTTATCAGAAAATACGTTTTTTTTTTCTAATTTCTTATATTTTTTAATTAAATTTCTTCTTTGTATACAATTTTTATAATTCATTAATTTATTTCATATTATATAATTTTATAAAATTGTAATTAATTTAATCAAAAACAGGTACTTGCTATAAACTAAACATATTTTGCACAATTAATTTTTATTTTTTAAGAATCTCATTTAAATGTTATACACATATAATATATGTATGTATAAACATTTAAATTTTATTACTTTAATATATTTGACGTACTTTAATCATTTTAAGTTATTAATGCATAGTATTCTTTTTTGGTTTTCTGATGTATAATTTATATTTCTGTTACTTATAATTTATTTTAATTATTTAATTTATGAAATAATGATAAAACTTAATAACTGATTTTAGTTAACACATCAATCTTTTCATCTTGATTTTAAATAGAACATGTGCTTACTGAAATTTAGTTTTATTTTTACTTATAATATTTTCTCCTAAAATTACCATGTTTCTCAAAGTTTATTCATAGATTTTATAAACAATTTAAAAAGTTATTACAAAAAGGATCAACTTTAATTATAATCAGATCTGAATTTATTATTTTTGTGTAAGAGGATCTTTTATTTTTATAAATGAATTATAGTTGGTGTTAACCAGCATACAAATTTAAAAATTAAAATATTCAGAACCAATTATTTTTACTATGCATTTCTACTGGATAGTTATTACCTTATTTTTTTTTTTAAAAACGAATAAATATACAACAACAAAATGTGTTTAATCTTAATTTATATATGTATAATATTTAAACATATTTAAAATGTACTCACTATAAAATCTTTGATAAAATACTGTAAATAAAGTTTAATGTTAAAATTAATCAACTTCTAATATAATAAGTAATCGACCATAATTTTGTATTATTATTTATTTTTTGAACATGTCCAAGGCCATAATAATTCGGTTGTACCTTTATTATTTGAATGCAAAAATATTTTACAGTCAATTATTTTTGTATTACTGAGTTTTAAAATTGTTTAAACATTGGATGTATTCTAGTCATACTACGAAAACAAAATTTTACCTATTTTGTCAACTTACTAGCATTACACATTTTATGAACCTGTATATTGATTTACAGTATAGTTTAAAACATAATATAATATGTATAATAAAACTTATTAATATTATTAAAATTGAGATGTCTGTGATCAATCCACAAATGAATTCAGTTTATATAATTTTTTTGGTTATTTCATTGTGGCGTTTACCAACATTATGCTCAATTTGTGCTCAAAAAATCATTTAAATATATTTGAGAACATAATTTATTGTGCTAATAAAATTTATATTTTAGTAGAAATTTATTTTTTATAAAACTTAGTATTAGTAAACTATACATAATTATTATCTAAGTGATAATCCAGCAATAAAAAAAGACTTATTTTAGAAATATATTTTAATATTTTTTCTCACTATATTATATTGTATTGTGTAAACAAATACATAGTTGTATAAAATTTATTAATTGAATGATTTAATTTTACATTTTTTGTACTCAAAGTTATGTCTTAAAAGATTGTTTTACTTTTCAGCAAATTCATAATTATCTAAAAACCTATTGCAACTCTTTTTTAAATATTTATTTTAAATAAATTAAAGTTTCCATGTAGAATAACTTAAATGTTAAAATGCTTTTTTTGATTTTAATTTTTAATTCAATAATTTAATTAATACAATACTAATTTAATAAATGTTATAAAGCAGTATTTTGATATAGTAAATTAAGAATTTAAAATTAAAAGAAATTCAGTTTTATAGTATTTAATTTTATTAATTTCTCAAACACAAAAATTGTTATAATTTTTATATTTAATGAAAATAGATGTTTGTTTTTCAATTAATTTAATTATTTTTTTTTAGTAACTGAAGGTTTATTACATTATCTTGATTAATGCTTTATTGATGGGAAGGAAAACCTGTAAAATTTAAAACTATTTCATCCCCTCCCTCCCCCCAAAAAACCACAATTTTTAAGTAAGTTAATTTTTTTTTTTTAAAGATTATTAATTGTCTAAATATTGTTTATTTTATTGATTTTTTTATAGCCTTATTTCTCGATTTACCTATTAAAATAAACATTACAGTAAAAGTGCCAATTTTCAATATTTTATCACTGCCTATGATAATGCTTAATGATTCTATATTTTTTCAATTTTTACCGGATCAAGAAATTTCCCAAATAATACGATAATGTATATCGGTGTACGATACATGTTAGTAACCATAATTTTCTATTGCAAGGATTCTTAATGGATGGAATTTTGTTATACATATATACATAACATACCGAGAAACCGTAACGGTTTTGTTGCTGTAATAATAATTGGTAAAAAATACTTTTGTGCGTCCTAAGGATAGGTCCTATATCGTAATAACATCACGTCTCAGCGAATTAGTCTACTATTGTAATATTTTCTTGGCCCAACTACGGTATTATTCAACGATTTGCCTCGTGGTGATTTTCTTTTCATAACATGCCTACTATTATTCTGACGTTTCTGCCATCCGACCGTTGTGGTATTGTCATGGTTTTTATATCCGCATAGATCGGTATGATACCCGTAGATTTTTTTAACTTATTCGTGGTCGAGACGTCATGGGAATAGTCTATATGTCTACACGGTTTAACTTTGGTGTATAAGTATGTAATATGATGTATCGTTTTCGTTTCACTCCGGTAAACTGTTTAAATCCTCTCGATACCTAAATACGTTTTAAGATGTTATGTGTGTATAAAATATCTGGACACGGGTTACGTCGCTACGAGTTGATTTATTATAAATTAAAATATTATTACACTACATAATAGTTATAGTGCGTTTATAATACGGTGTTTAGATATGTACGACTTAGAAGAATCTTTGCGTCGTGACTTGTAAATAATTTAAATCTGTGACACAGGCAACGATGTTCGTATCTTGTTTGTACAAAACTCGCTCATTTTTGGTAGGGTTGTGATTATAGTGAAATTTAAAATTCATAGCTAATTTGTATACCACAAAAATAGGACACGTGACCGAAGTTTTTTGCGTGTTCAACACTGTCCGTTTTAAGCTACACAAGGCCCGTTTTCACAATGACACACATGACGTTTGGCTCATTTTTCAAGTTACATCGTTTTAGTTGAGGTTAAATGTGAATTCGTAATACCTGTTTAATTCCTTACCACAATGGACTTTCGGCGTCTCTATCAACTTAAATAGAGAGTATTTTAATTTTTAATTTTTCATAGTTATTTTATCTTTACGTTAAGATAATCCATTTGAACGTTATTATTATTTATTTGATGTATATCTTTAAATAATATTACATACGGATTTTTAGTTTACAAATATTTATTGAAAACAATTTTTGAATCAACTATCTGTTTAAAGGATTTGTATTTTATTCATGACTACAAATTTTTTTTTTTTTATATATTTTCACGTTATTTATAATTTAATGAGTTATCTACCAAACTACTACCTACTAAACGTTTTAAACAATTTAAAAAAAAGCAGCTCCACTCAATACTCATGACGTTGTAATATTAGTACCTATAAGAATGTTATCTTAATAGTTTATGGCGTTTATACAATTGATTGGTATTTTAATGGTAGGTACCTATCTAATTTAGTACTACAAATTAGATATTAGGTATTGTGTTTTAAACATTACTTATTAATTTTTAATAATAATTTATATTGTTTAAAATAGAAAATGATTAAAAATATACATCTATAATTAAGGAAATATTTGGAAGTCTATCTTTAGACAAAATAAAATATAAGATAAAATAAATTAAATAATGAACTTTTAAAAAATATGGGAATAATTTATTTCCCAGGTGTTGATCCTATGGTTTAACTGTGACAAATATAATAAGTAATTTAAGTTGGTGGGTGTGTGGTTGTAAGCTCCTTGGGATCACCTTCTCAAATATTTATATATTTTATTGTAATGTAACTAATAGACCGTTCCTTCAGTGGAAAAGTAAATTAAATTATTTTATTCAGTAAAATTATACAGGGCATGCGATTCGAACAGACCCCTTTAAGAGATGGCATGAAATATATACATTTCAATTTACGTGTGTTTATTGTTTTGGTATGCAATTCGGATGCACCGTAGATCACGACATCAATTTCTTTAAAGTAACTAGTCTCGGAGAATTTCCAGGAACCGTGATGGATTGGGTTACTAATTGTTAACAAGTGCGGAGTAATATTGAAGGCTGGAAATACCACATTAGTCGGGTAAATAAAATGTATATTAATATTAGTTAAAAACAAAATTGTATACACGCATCATTCATAACGCGTTTATGTGTTTAAAATTATAACGGTAGACTGCGTTGCCATTATCGTTCAGGCGCGTTAATCGAATACATAAATAAATAATAATTATTCTTATACTTAATCGTAACATACCAAGACTCACGAGTCACGAATCACGATAGTCGACTGCGCAGGAGCCATATAATAGTGCGTAGGTACACTTGATTTTAAATATTGTAGATCCGTGGTGAGTGGTGACCCAAATAAACGATATTATATAGTACCCATTCGTAACAATGTGCTTTATTATTCATAACCAAACCACGAGTTAATAAATTCAATAAAAATGCTTTTACCGACAAATAGATAGAGAAAATAGGTATAGGTGGGTATTCTGAATGCAGGGTTGGGATGGAGATAGCTTAAAAGTTTTAAGCGATTGTGGTTTTGTCTGAATTATCAATCATTTGATGCCTAAACGTTTAAAATAATTAAAATGATTTATATAATATTAAGCTTATAAAAACGAAAAACTGTAGCTATCA